CATGTCCCAGAGCGCGTCGACGTCGACTCCGGCGGCGTCTGGGAGTGGGCCCAGTCAGAGGAAGCGGAAGGCCGAGCTCGATGCTGCGTTTGCCGACGCGGAGCGAAGTCTGTCTGCTCCCGGAGGCTCACAGCCTAAACCTCTGGCTGGCCAGCCGGGCGCGTCGAGGGCGTCGGGTGAGCGCAAGACCAATAATCCTGTGGGTGCGACGTGGGAGGAAGGCATGGAGAATGACGCTCCGCCGGAGGAGTCCATTGATGAGCTGTACTGCACCATGAGCACCAATGTTGTTGGTGTTCAGTATTATAAAGGTGGGTCGCAGCGCTGCTTAAACTCGAGGGAATGCTGATTTTTTCAAAAGGTCTGGTCGATGCGGGAGAGCAAGTGCGTCTTGTCAGGGAACCACAAAATAAATACGATAGGTTCGCGAACCTTGTTCAACATCCTTTCCCAGGCGCATGCACTCAAATTTATGTCACTCAGAATGGCCATCCAAGTCAAGAATATCGGTGGAACGCAAGTTGGGCACCTGCCCCGAACTGTAGCAAGCAGGTTGTCTCCGCTTCTCGACAGGCAACTAGTCACTGTGGAAGGGACTATGAACGAAGGCAATCGTCTGTATCACTTATATTTTTGGATCCATAGCCTTAGGCTGACCTGACTTGACTGCCTTTAGTTCGCGGGTTTAGCTATTCTTTATCGGTGTAAGCATTCTCTTGCGACTCAAGTAGGGGTTTCACAGTTCTCACCGCTTGCATCCACAGGACCTTGAGGATCTATGGCGCCATGGACAAACGCGGCCAGCTAGAGCCACAATTGATCTGGGCAACCCCTGGGCAACGCGGCTTCCCAAAGCGAACTGCTGCTACAGCCAGCGCACAAGCAGGTTACGCTTCTGCCGGAGGCCCTGGTCTGCCCTCCGCCGCCGCCATAGTCGGCGGTTCGAGAATGCCATCCGCATACAGCGGCTCTGCATACGGTTCAGGGGCGTACGCTGCAGGCCCGAGCGCTTCACAGGCCCGCGGCATGACGCAGGCGCAGATGGAGCTGGCGCGCAGGCAGCAAGAGTCGTTCGCCAAGGCTGCCGAGCTCCGCCAGATCTTGAACAGTCTGGAGAAGGTCGACGACGAGGGACGGAGAAGCAGCTTGCTTGATACGCTGTGCTCGACGGAGGACGTGCTTTCTCTCCCGCTGTACCCGAATCCACCTGGGATCGAAAGCGGGGAGCTGCGTGTTAATTTGCTTAAGCATCAGGTGAGCTTTATATGGATGGGCTCTGTTGGTTGAGGGATGCGGAGATTGATCGTATGTTTCGATTTGTTAGGCCCAAGCGTTGCAGTGGTGTATTGATCATGAATACCCCAAGTTGCCGGAGAAGGAAACTGACAAGCCTGTTCAGTTCTGGCAGTACAGGAAGATGGGTGCTAAGGTTCGTAATCGCCGTCTAGTTCATGAGACTGTACTGAACGGATCGCTTCTTCCTTCAGTCGTACTATTACAACAGTGAGTCACAATCTCTGGCCGCACATGAGGTGTATGTATGTCTGATAAACATACGTATAAGTTGCGACCAAGAGTCCACAGGAGGCGAAGCCGGAGCTTGGAAGAGGTGCACTTTGTGCCGATAGTATGGGTTTAGTAAGTTCGCAGTTGTTCACGCCAATGTTCCTTCATTGATAAATCACCTTCAGGGCAAAACGCTCACCATGATTTCCTTGATTTTGGCAACCAAGAATGACAACTCCTCGAAATTCAGCAAGAGCACATTAATCGGTACGTCATTCACCTCATGTAGTCTTTCCCATTTCCGACCTCCCTTTTCCAGTTGTCCCGCTTTCTGTCCTTTCAAACTGGGAGAAGCAAATCGACGACCATTGCATGCCTGGCGCGTTGTCGTACTGCACATACTACGGGACGGGGCGGTCCATGTCTGCTAAGGACCTCCAGAAGTACGACGTCGTGTTGACGACGTATCAGACCGTGACCAAGGAACACGAAAATGCTGCAGGCTTGGCGAATGGTAACGGTGCTCCGAGCAAGAAAAAGAAGAAAGTGGAGAGTAGTCTGTTTGGCGTGCCGTGGAAGGTACGAGATATTCTACTCTAACGCGATGGCCTTGATGTTCGGTTTATTGATGAACTTGGGAAACAGCGGATCATTCTGGATGAAGGCCATAATATCAGGAATCCGAGGACTAAGATGGCACAAGCTGTGTATGCGCTCGCTGCAGAAAGGCGATGGGTCTTGACAGGGACGCCCATCGTATGTCATCTCCATTATATTTTTGGTGAACCGGGCTCACCTTTTTTGATGGCATCTAGATCAATTCCCCTCAAGTAAGTTTCATGCATATGCTCTGCGTCGCTTCGTCTCAAATATCTCCTGCTCACCTCTCGCCTTGGCAGGATCTGGGCTCTATCGTCACGTTCCTCAAGATATGCAGCCCGCTCGACAACTCTGACTTCTACAAACGATTGTTGCTTCGCCCGCTCAAGGATGGAGACCCGTCTGGTGCAGAAATGTTGAGGGCGCTGATGAGCCAGATATGCATTCGGCGCACTAAAGAGGCTCGTTTATCGTGCCTTCCTCGCATGTGCGTTGCTCACGAATCTACAGATGCAAGATAGCGAGGGCAATTACTTGGTGCCCTTGCCTCCGGTAAGCTCGAGCGTCACCCTTTTGGATGTGCCTCCGTGCTCACTACACTGTTCAGGTTGAAATGACGCTTGTGCCCGTAGAATTGGCCCCAGAGGCAAGGGTATGTACTCGGATGCACTTTCTTCATACACATATTAAAGCAAGCCAATAGGAATTGTACGATACCATCGAACAGCTGTCCAAGGAGCGTATTGAAAATATGATGAACAACCCTGGCGGCGTCACTGCCTTCTCCGTACGTATCTCCCGCGTAGGTCCCAGTCTTGTTGACTGAACTTGAACATCGCGAATAGCTCTCGACGAATGCACTGGCTCTGCTCACTCGCCTGCGTCAAATCGCCCTTCACCCAGGACTAGTGCCCGCCGATCTTATCCAGCAATTACAGAATGCCGACGATGACCATAACAACGCCGCAATTCAGATCACGCCGCAGGAAAGGATCCGTCTACAGGCTGTTCTTGCGCAAGCTATCGAAGATAACGAGGAGTGTCCCATTTGTTTCGGTATATTGGATGACCCGAGGATCACCGCCTGCTCACATAGATTCTGCCTTCCTTGGTGACTCTCAACAAGCGTTCGTTTGCCGTCCGCTCGCTAACGCCTATTTTCTATAGTATCACGGAAGTCATCGCACGCGACCCCAAGTGTCCCATGGCGAGCATTTTTGACAATGTCAAGGAAGCAGTGCTGACTGTCCTGTAGGATCGACGTGCGATAGGCATGGGAGACCTCATAGAGCCTCCTCCCCCCACGGAGCTTACCCAGGCTCCTATACCGGTGGATGAGGATGAAGACGACACTGAGAACGACTTGCGCACAGGCTCCTCCGCCAAGATTGACCAGTTGGTGCATCTGCTGAAGCTGACGCCTGGGAACGAGAAGTCGCTCGTTTTCTCGCAGTTCACTTCGTTCTTGGACAAGGTACGGACCCATCAGTACTAAAGTTGAAAGACCAAGCACTGATGGATTCTGTACGTAGATTGCGGAAACTCTTGATAATGAAGGGTAAATTTGACAACTCATGGGTTCGAAAAAGGCGCTGACTGGCTCCAGTATTCCCTACGTGCGATTTGACGGTAAAATGTCCGCTCGGAGGAGGCAGGAAACGCTCCAGCGCTTCTCGATCCCCCTTGACGACGCTGCCGTCCCGCCTGCTTCCACGCCATCTGGAACACCGGCGCCCACTCAAACGCAGGGGCGGGCTACTCGCCGCCGGACAACCACGCAGGCCAGCGTCGTCGACGTCGACATCACCGCCCAGGAACAGGGAGACGCCGATGACGACTTCGTTCCGGGCGCTGTCGAGAACGATGATGATGATTTCTTGGACGACGAGGATGACGATGATGTCTGGACCAAGAAGGGCAAAGGGAAGAAAGGCAAGGGCAAGGCGAAAGCGAAAGGGAAGAGCGTCGCAAAGGCCAGGTTCGCTGCTTCCGCCAGCACCGTGACATATCAGGAACCTCTGGCCGCTGGGGTAAACCCGAAGGTCATGTTGATATCGCTCAAGGCTGGTGCTCTTGGCCTGAACCTGACAGTTGCAAACAACGTATACTTGTAAGTCGCCTTTCTTCCCTCATGTCGCTAAGAAAGATTGACATGTATCCTAGGATGGATCCGTAAGAGTGTTCTTGGCTTGGCGCATATAGCACCTGATCTTGTGTCTAGATGGTGGCAGGAAGGTATCGAGAGTCAAGCAATTGATAGATGCAATCGGTACGCACTTTATGGATATATGAGAGGAGCCTCACAGCTAACACTAACAATCATTCCAGCATTGGCCAGAAGAAGCCCGTTCACGTATACCAGCTTATCGCGGAGGATACGGTCGAATCGAAGGTACTTACCCCGCCCATCTGTTCCAATAATTCCCATCTCAAACAATAACTCCACCAGGTCATAGAAATTCAGGAGAAGAAGAAATTGCTTATCAAAGAGGTGCGTCCCCTCGACAACCATGGATTGAGTTGCTAGGTTCGCTAACTTGGGTTGCAGGCATTTTCTGGGATCAAAAGCAAAGAAACACAACGTCAGAAAAAGGAGGCCAGGCTGCAAGGTAATTCACTCACCGAATTGCTGTCGCATCGCTGACACTCTTTTGCTTTCGCCTCCACAGATCTGATCCAACTCTTCGGCATCAGGCAGCAAGCAGCCAGTCAAAATTCTTGAGATATTCTTGGTATAACACACTACCTCATTGCTAATGCTGCTATTCCATACATCAATGTTATAAATGTACTTCGTCCATACTGCTGTACTTTCGTGTCTTGCAGTCGTAATCGCAGACTATTGAGGGCGGACCAGAGGAATACCTGATGTAAACTTTATGATTGTATGACAAGTCACTTTGCCGGAGTGGTTAACGGGATCGCCTGCTATTTAAAGCAACTCAGCGGTTGGGCTTTGCCCGCGAGTGTTCGAATCGCTCAGGTGACGCTTTTTTGGCCCTTTTGCCTCTGTCTATCTTTCCCACGCTCCTCTACCGTAAGCCCGACGCGCTTCACAGTCGACTTGCTCTCATCCCGCTGTGCCTTGCTCGACTGTCCTTGCTAATTCTACCTCCTGAACACGACAAAACCACACTCGCGACACAAGGTAATCCATGAGTGCCAATAAATACGCGAATTTACCGGACATAGTTGGTGCTACTCTCGATCTTTGCATTCGCGATCTCATTCGACGCGTTGTGGACATAGGACACCGCGCCTGATATCTATGAAACGGACGATGTCTTTCCTTCATCTCAGACGAAAGTAAGTATACTCGCTTCATTAGATCGGTGCTGAACTGAACGTGTCTTCATAGCAAGGCGAGTCAAGTGATGAAGAATCAGGACTGCCGGCGCGTCATGCACTTCGTGGACGGAACGGGGAGACAAGCGCAAAAGAAGAGCTTGACAACAGTAACCTCATAGGTGCAGAGGAGGCTAGCAAGAAGTTCAAGCGGGCGGAACGGAAACGTACGTCAGGCCTTTATCTCAATTACTTGATTGCCTATATACCACTGCGTAGGGATTCGCGATCGGTCTATATATCAGTACCCTAGGTCCCGCACGCCATCTCCATCTCCATCTCACCCTCCATCGCTGTCCGCAAGACTGCGTCTACTCCAGGCAGAGCTAGCGTCGTTGGAGACCGAACTCGGCGATCCTTCGAATCCTCTCTTGCAGAAAGAGCGCGAGGAAGAACATGTAGACCCCGGCGAGCTTATAAAAGGTCTTGTCGACGTGAAGAGCCGTCTGGAGAAATTTAGCGTCAACAAGGAGGGCAGAATACGCCTGGTGAACGAGGTGCTAAAGGAAGAGTCCGCAGAGGAATCGGTCACACCCGAACCCGCATCCAAAAAAGAGGAATCGAAGGAGACACCGGCTGAAGAGAAAGAACCCCCGAAGACGGCTCTGAGAGATACAGCAGATATGGACCGTCGCGTAGGAGAGCTCGAAAAGCTCGTCGGCTCAGCGAGTGCGTCTTTGGATGAGGTACGTCGGACAGCGCGTGAAGCATCTAATCAAGTCTGACCGTGCTTCTCAAGACATCTCCGATGCCTCCACCGCTTCTCCCTCTGCTGACCCGCCTCAACACCCAACTTACTGTCCTGACACAACCTCGCCACCTTGACAACATATCTCGTAGGTTGAAGCTTCTTCTGACGGACTTAGAACGAGTGTCTTCGTCAACTCAGCAGCATCGCCGCCAACCTCACCATCCAGAAGGTGCTCCACCGCCAGTTGCCGCGCCTTCCGTTCTGCAAGAGCAGATGATGCCGATCCTTACTCGACTTGTCCCAAATCTGCCTCATATCCCGCATATATTGACAAGATTACGGACATTGTCTACGCTGCATACATCTGCTGCCGAATTTCAGAGCACGCTAGAGGGGTTGGAAGAGGATCAGAAAAAGGTCAGGGAGGCCCTCGAAGACTTATCAAAAGCGGTAGAAAGCGTGGAAGGCAGCCTGGAGGACAACAACAAACTAGTCCGAGGCAATGTCAGTGGGCTGGAGGAGCGCATAGAGTCTCTCATGCAACGGCTGGAGAAGCTGGAAGGATAGGTACTGCATACGTGAGTGGTACAGCTGTCCGGCTCCTTGCGTTGTTGACGCTGCATAGCATTCAGCGTTTGTCACGATACCCCTACAATGTTACCTTTGAGCAAGGCACGCAGGTCCTCGTGGTTGAGTTCGCCTTGTTTCCATCGGCCTCTCTGGCGGCATCTAAATCTTTCAATGATGACGATGCGTGTTTCGGTCGCCTGCTGGCGCGCTTGAATTGAACTGAATTGAATAGGGACCGGCGGGCGCATTCGGCCTTGGTGCCGCTGTACGCTTGAGTGACGATGGATGGCGACAATCCCACGGATCGCTTGCCACCGGCCCCCGTGGATAAGTTTGATAAAGACGGGCGACTACCCTTCCATCTTACTGACTATATTCAGACCCCCACGAAATACTCACCAACAGAACCTGTGGGCAGGAATAAACCATCCGTAGAAGCTGTACCGCGGTCAAGACTTCAGAGAAGGACAACTGGTGAGTGGACCCTGTAAAGAGCAATGTTTTTATCTAGCTCGATTGTGATAACGGTGTGTGTGGAGGTGGTGGGTTGATGGCAGGCCCAACGCTGTAACTTGAAGAGACCGCGATATTCCCCGGTCAGTGCCTTCGATTATGGTTCTGGATATGCTGCCGATGTGCTCGCTTCCAATAAACCTGGTGCATTGCTTAATGTATACACCCATGGCCATGCACCGCCGGTTTCAATTTTCCCGCGACAGCATCGCAGCTGTGAGCTATAAAATGAGTTCATGGTAGAGGAAAAAATCCTCAGCAGCGCTCTTCTTCATCTTCTGTAGTCATCACTGTGGTACTGGTTACCCTTTGGTGTATCCGTTGGAAATCCTTCTTCTGTCCCATCTTTATCCGCTTGACAAGCATATCGTTGCCCCCTCATTGCTCCAATGCAGCCCTTCATCTTCGCCCTTGTCATCGCCTTGGCCGTTTCGGCTTCTGGACTTCCAGTCACTCATATTCCTCGCGCAAACTCGGAGATGGCTCAAGTCGAAACTGCCCGCCAAGAGGCCGCACAAATCTCTGCTCGTGTCCAGAAGCCGAGGTACGTATGATTTCTACCCTTAGCGTTCACACTTCTGACTCAAATGATTACAGCCATAAGAGGACCACGATATCCACCGCTACAGCAGAGGAGATTTCGTCTTTGGGTCCTGATGTCCTGGGGGGAGTGGCTGCAATCATCAAGTCAGTGATTATGTCTTCCTTGTGCTTTACGATGTTCATCGATGCTGTCTCCCAGACGCGACACTAACGAAGACATCGGAAAGATCACGCACTTCCTCCCCCATTTCCTGGACGAAGCCCCACCTGTTAAGTCAGTCATATCCTCCATCTCTTTTGATGTCCCGTACTCATCAACCACGGGCTTCTGAAATCATCAAGACGTGACATCATTGAAGATATCGGAAACGTCACGAACTTCCTCCCAGAGTTCCTAGACGAGGTACCAGCCGTTAAGTCAGTCATACACTCCTTCTCTTCCATGGACCATACTCATCGACTGTGGGCATCGGAAATTTAGACGGGGCAACGCCGAAGATATCGGAAAGGTCGTGAAATTCCTCCCAACAATCCTGGAGGAGGCTCCGGTTGTGACGTCAGTCATCTCTTCCCCATCTCTTTTGCACACTCATGAACTGCGGGCGCCTGGAATCTAGACGCGACACCGTCGAAGATATTGGAAAGATCACGAAGTTTCTCCCCGACTTCTTGTAGGCGTCCCCGGCTGTAAAGTCAGTTGTCCAACGTCCGCTTTCTCAACGTTGAACTACTTCTGACGTGGCGTGCTTTGGTACAGGCATAGCTCCGGTGCAGGTGGCACAGTAATGGCAGTGCTCGCTCGCCGCGCTCTCGACGACCTTGACTAGGGCGTGTGGTGCAATAATTCGATATTCAGATTTTGTTCCTATATCTCTTCAATGTTACAGTTGAACAAGGCATGCAGGTTGTCGTGGTTGTGCTTGCCAAGCCCTTCCGTCGGCCGCTCTGGTGGTATTTATATTCCTCGATGGCACCGATGCGCGTTTCTGTCAGTTGGTGGCGTGCTGGTCATCATATCATCAAATTGGGACCACTGGGTGGCACCGCACGCTGAGGAGACTGAGGGTGGTGATGGTCCCACGGATCACTTGCCACTGGCGCTAGCTCTTGTGGTTGACCTCAATGAGGACGGGCCACTCTTCTTCTCATCTGATATAGATATCCCAGTCGGCTCAAAATCCCGACCGAGACTAATAAAGCCCAGGCGTAGAGCTTTGTTCCACTAGGTAACCCCCAGAGACTGCACCGCAGTGAAGATTTTGGACGACGTCGACAGATGGGTGGAACCTATAGTGAGCAATCGTTTCATCTAACATGATCATGATAACGTTATGCGTGGGAGGTGGTAGATTGATGGCAGGCCAACGCTGCAACTTCAACAGATGGCAATATCCCAGTGTTCTCGATTCTGGTTCTGGTTGCGCCCCGATGCGCCCGCTGCCAATAAACCTTCTGCGTGGTTTGATGTATGCGCTCGTGGCCATGCGCTGTCGGTAAGGAGAAGATACCATCAGACGCAGATATTTGGTGAGCTGGAAGCCAGGACGACTACTAATTTTCCGGCGGCAGCATCGCAGCTGTGAACTATAAAAAGAGACCATGGTGGGAGATGGGATCCTCAGCAGCGCTCCTCTTCGTCTTCTGTAGTTGTCATTTCGGTACTGGTTACCCTTTCGTGCTTTCTAGCAAATCGCTCTTTTGTCCATCTACTTTCGCTTCACGAACATCTCTCCATCCTCTCATTACCACAATGCAGCCCTCCACCTTCGCCCTCGTCCTTGCCTTAGCCCTTTCGGCTTCTGCGCTTCCCATTTCTAACCTTCCTCGCGAGGAGACGCCCGACCTCGAGACGCTCTTCCAAGAAGCCCTAAAGGTCGCCCCCTTTATTCAGAAGCTGCAGTACGTCTCACACACCTTTGACGTGCACCATCTAACTCAGACGGCTTCAGTGGAAAGCGCACTGTGGCGTCTGCTGCTGTGACTGCAGCAGAGGATATTCTGCCCTTGCTCCCTGATATCATTCAAGAATTTGAGTGCGTATTATTTCGCCTGCCATCGCTAAATAAATGTGACATTAACTTTCCCCACCCGAACCCAATAGGTCAAAGACGAAGAGGACTGTTGCATCCGCCGCGATCACCGCAGCAGAGGATATCCTGCCGTTGCTTCCCGACATCATCAACGAGTTCGAGTGCGTGCTACATTGCCCGTATCATCGAACGAAGACTAATATGCTGGCCATAGAACAAAGGCGAAGAGGACTGTTGCATCAGCTGCAGTGACTGCCGCGGAAGACCTTCTGCCGTTGCTTCCCGACATTATCAACG